TAAAAGTTTATCCTGCTAGGGAGATTTTGGAATAAAAATAATCCTCTCATGACAAGCTAGACTGTTTCTCGGGATTTATTTCATAACATGTTATGTTGTTGTTAACTGTAAGTGTTATAGATAATGTTGAATGGAGACCTTCAAAGTTTTTTCTGCAGGGTTTAAATAAGTGAGAGAAAAACTTTGTCTAGCCTGAGCAGGGCTGGAGACTATGCCCCGACAATAATTAAGTTAGTTTTTCTTTTTTTTTTTTGGATATGACATCATCTAGAAACTTCTAGCATATTTTACATTGGGCTCACACTGAACCATGTGAGGCTGTGGTGGGGTGCTGCAAAGAACTCAAATCTTTCAAAAAAGTTTGGTACACTCCCAAGCTCACATGCTAAATCATGAATGGAATGGAAATCAACTTTATTGTCATTACATTGTCACAAGTGCAAAGCAACACAATGAACNGCGTTGAAGGAAGGTCTGGCAGCTGCTTATAAAGGCATGTCTCCTGATGGGCTGATGAACGTCAGCTGTGCTGGAGGGCTCCAGCCCAGGAGAATCCACAGCGCACTCTGCTGGAGAAGGTGGAGAGTCTCCAGATCCCAACAAATGGATTATGTTTGCATTGCTCATTCACATTAAAATGATTAGCCTTTAGATGCAAAATCCCATCATGCAACATATTTATGCAAAATTTTTAAACATAAATTTGCCAAATAGAAGAGAAACATTAAAGTTTGGTTTAAAGAAAGCATTTAAGTTTTATTATTATTTAGTTTGTTGCAGGGGTTTTACAGTTTGAAGAAATAGAAAATTACACCATATACCATCCGTCACAAGGCTGTGCATGACATGGAAGGGCTATATATACTGCATATATCATTTACATAGTTAACATTGTATTACTTCTTTAGCTCCTTGAGTTATTTACTGTCACAGGTGGGTGCTTCGGTTAGAGAGTAAGTATTGGGGCTGGTATGATTTAAGGAGGGCCGGCCCTCGCATGCTGAAATTAGGACCGGCCCACCGGGCAAATGCTCAGTACCACAGATTACCAATCCGAGCTTGCATCTCACCAACAGCAGCAGTAGCTGCTATAAACTTGTAATAAATTTCGGTGTTAAGCAATTTCGGATATTCAAATTACTTAAAGGCCAAATATTTAAAATATCTGTCTGGCTGAAACATAGTGTAATTGACTATAAGAACGGCGACCGTGAGAGTGAAACTATAAAGTTTTAGGACTGTATAGGGTGATTTATACTCAGAAACAAGGTCGTCTGCATGTATCCCAGTGAATGCAAATGTGACTCCGCCCCTACCGCAGACACTACTGCACCTCTTCAAAATTTTAGGTGGGCCCAGTGTCGCAGACAGGAGGCATCGGGTTGGTGAAATCTACATCCGCCCTACTCATGTGTATTTCCTGTTTGGTACCTTACCGGCTTGTTTTGTTTGTATGACCGGGATTTCGTAAAACAACTCAAGAAGTTGGACCAGCTAGAAGAGCGAGGTGCGCGAGAATGCTGGGACATTTTTTCCACCTAGATCGCCCCTTCTTTTTGCCCTCATATGCCTCCGTTGTCACACAATTTTGCCACCACTTCCTCACCTCCTCGGCCGTATCTAGACCCACAGCTAGTTGCGTTCTGTGGCACAGACCATGCTTAAATATTGGGCATAAATCACAAATATCTGCGACAAGCTCACTGCGACACACTGCTGCGGCCCTTAAAAGTCCTTAAAAGTAAAGAACATAAATTCTTTGTACCATGTGGATGAATGAATAACTGTTTTGATTCGTATGAGTGTTGAGAACATGGCTAAAAACAATAGAAATATATTCCCTCTGGGATATTTTCTAGAAAAAAGGCAGCACTGTTGAATCCCAAGTCAAGGTCTTTAGAACATAGATAAAACAGATGCAAGATGGTGTCTTTGGCAACCTCACGGGTAAACGTCCCTGTACAGGACAAGGGGTGATGTTTTTAGATATGTTGAAACCAATTATCTCTATTTATTCACTGGATTGCTGATAGCCCAAAAAAAGTGAAGCCACCGGCCGCCGTATTGATACTCCCCACTCCCACGGAGATGCACAGTAAATATGCCTATATGTGTAGCATTTAGCCTCAAAAACATACATTTTGCCAGCTGCAGGAAGACCTTTCACAGGTAATTTCAGTCTGTGGATGCACTAACCAAGAAAATCCATATATATGCCGATGTTTCCTATAGTATAGTATGTAGCGTAACATTAGTCTGGCTATCTCAGACTGACTCGAAGATAGTGAATGAGTTATCTATTGACATTGTGTCTAACGTTAGAAGATAGAAAGTATAGTGAATAAAAGTAAATCACTGTGAAGTGTGAACATATTAATTTTTATTTAGTAGATGACGCTGTCATTTTTGTAGTGTTTGTGGTATTTCTCATTTGAAAAATTCATGTGCTGAAATGCATTGCATGTTATATTGGAAAAAAAAAGCAACTCAAACATTTTAAAGGCTAATGCACAGACACAGCATACAATTATATAGCATCATGCATGCACAATTTGTAAATAACAAAAGAAAGCTACAGCATTAAGAGACATGTACTTGTAATTCAGTCTTGATGTAAAATCTTGAAATTATATGTAATTAACATATCAATGTAATCAATATACCGGTATGTCTATTACATGTATATTATCAGTTTAGCACTTTTGGCACATCAGTATTATTATGCTCCATTAAAACATTAATTTTGTTGTGATGGATTTGTATAATATGTTATATTACTTGATTTATACACTTCATTGACTTCATAATGACTATGTAATGTGTTATGCCTATTTTATTATTTTTTTAATATACTTATGCTATGAAACAGCAAGTGTGTGTCAAAGTAATGAATGCATCATTATTTTAAAAGTCTTAAGTCCCCTGAAAATGAGAACATCATCTTTTTTTGATGGTGTAGCTCTCATAGTCTTGGATCTGTTGTGCTTAACTTTGCTCCTTGTTTTCTGTTTTTATTGGTTTAATTCCTATTTTGTTGTAGTTTGAAAGTATGAAATTGGTTGGGCACAGCAACTTGTTCTTTAAAAGAATTTTGATTAAAGGTTTTTTAAAATAATATATATATATATAGTATTTACTGTATATACTTGCTGCATGAAGCAAGCTATTGTGCAGCTTTCTCAGAAATAGTTATCTTCCGTATCTATTTTTATAAACCTAAACCACAGGCTGTACTTCCTCTTCTATTTGCGGTTGGGACTGTTTTAATGCCCTGGTCTCTCAAACTAAAAAAGGGTCAAGTTTGAGCAGTTACATGCAACATTACTGGAAATATTGTACATTTTAAATGAGCACTCAGAATTATTTAGTCTGGTTTTAAATTTAACTGGAGTTAACTTTATTGCATTCCTGAAAGGAAATTAAACTAAATTTATTCAATTTGATTTTTTCCCCTTCTATTAGAGTCAAAGAAATTCCTGCAATGTTACTCACCCAGTCAAGATAAAAGAATTCATATCAGGATGTTTCTTTCAGAGGAAAACCTTGCACTTAAAAATGCCTTTAACACATTAGCAAATCTCAGACATGTAAATAAAATAAAAATATAAATGTGCTCTAAGAAATCATGACATTTAGTTGTTAGTTCAAGTGACATTTTCTTTCCAATTTAGACCAGGATTACTAACTACCATCTCCTCCACCCCCTAACTTTGAATAATCATGTTCTAAGTTGATACACATCGTTTTATAACACTACTAACTTATTTTCTGCATATAATAACTTTGGCATCTGAGACCAGTTCCAGGAAGTGGGATTAGTGAGAATTAAGAAAAAGTTTTGTGGTAAATATAAATATCAGCCTGGGCACCAGTTCCCCCTTGCTTTCCCCCCACCAGCCCCAGAGCTGATGGCTGGGTTTGAGTGCCTAAGTAGAAGTGTAACTAATAACTAGAAACAGAAGGGGGCAACAGAGAGTAACTCAAGAACTAAACACTGCTAGAAAACAACTACAAATACAAAGAAATTTAAAATAAACTTAAACAAAGGGCAGAACCCTAAAATTTTATCCTGCTAGGGAGATTTTGGAATAAAAATAATCCTCTCATCACAAGCTAGACTGTTTCTCAGGATTTATTTCATAACATTTTATGTTGTTGTTAACTGTAAGTGTTATGGATAATGTTGAATGGAGACCTTCAAAGTTTTTACTGCAGGGTTTAAATAAGTGAGAGAAAAACTTTGTCTAGCCTGAGCAGGGCTGGAGACTATGCCCCGACAATAATTAAGTTAGTTTTTCTTTTTTTTTTTTGGATATGACATCATCTAGAAACTTCTAGCATATTTTACACTGGGCTCACACTGAACCATGTGAGGCTGTGGTGGGGTGCTGCAAAGAACTCAAATCTTTCAAAAAAAGTTTGGTACACTCCCAAGCTCACATGCTAAATCATGAATGGAATGGAAATCAACTTTATTGTCATTACATTGTCACAAGTGCAAAGCAACAAAATGAACTTTAACCCATCCACTTGGGGTGTGGGGTCAAGGGTCAGATATCCTAATGCAATATAGCTTTTTAACCACACCATCAATGAAACCCAACCAACACTAAGTAACTTTTTAACTTTCATAAAATATTTTCATAAATTTTGTGACTAGTTCAATGACACGTCTGTCACACTAAGCAACTTTGAAGAAGATGGCAGTAGCCCTGCCACACAAAACAACTACAAATGTGCAGACTGCTTTAAGGCATTTGTCACTTTCCTTATTTGCTTAAAAGATGGAATTTGATGCAACTAACTTTCCCTATGAGACTCTATGTTTTACTAGCTTAGCCAAAATCAACCAAAACTGAAAGTTCTTTAGTACTGCTTTAAAAAGGGTGTGTCCAGATTTAATGCAATCCAATTTTATTTAAGCACTTAAAAACAACCGCAGCTGACCAAAGTGCTGTACAATAAAAAAAAAATGTATACGTGAAAAACAAAACCTAAAACATTACAGATAAAAAACAAAACAGCTAAAACTGTTACGATCAAACATGGGTAAAAGTAACATTCACACAACCAAATCAATAACATTGAGTAAAAGATAAAAGCAATAAAAAATATATCAAACCAACTGTCTTGCTAGGTGTTAAAACCCAAGGAGAAAAGGTGGGTTTTGATAAGAGATTTAAAAATCTGAGAAGAGGTCTATCTGATGTGCTGAGGCAGGTCGTTCCAGAGCTTTGGAGATGCAACATATGAAAAACCTTTATGTCTGTTCTATATCTAACTGAAAGGAATTCTACAAAAGAAAATGTTTGGGTTAGGATTGGTTAATGCTATTGTTTCCCATTCAAACACCATATAGTTTCTAATCCTTCTCAGAAGTTAAATGGCAAAATAAAATTACTGTAACATAGACACAGAATTTTTTTTTTTGCTGGTCTCTCTGAATTTCACAAATTATTTCTGATCCCTCAGTTTTACTTCCATCCAAGAGTTGATAGTTACACTCTGCAGAACAGCTTTACAGTGCATCGATACTAAATAAAGTAATTTAAAAACATAATTTATTTATTAACATTTGGTTGCAAAAATTTCCCAAAATTTTCTTAGTAAATTAAAAATCTTAACATAGAAAAGTACACATATCTACCATGGTTTTAGCTAAAGATTACAAAATGCATTGCTTACAAAGTTGGAAAGGACAGAAATAAAATAATCGATTAAGCTGCGGATCCACCAAGACAACAGTGGAGAACTTTGATGAAATGAGAAACAATATCTAATTTGGGTAAAACAACAAAATAAAATGGCAATTAAAAATTAACTAAACATGTCGGTCATAGTACTGGCCACTTTCGATTCATTGCTTTCATTGTTCTATTTAAGACATCCTTGTTCCGTTGGTAAAATAGTTCTCCTCACGAAGCTGAAAGAAAATCAAAATAAACAAGGATAAGGCAGATTTATTATTGTGTTTCAAGTGCATGTGATGGCTTTTTCTTCAAAAAAATGTGTGCATTATTCCACCCTCCACTGTTATTAAAAATAAAAATTAAAATAAATACAGCTGTATCCCCAAATAGTGTATTTCTTGACAGTCAAAAGTTGTCTAGAAACATCTGAAGTCACTTCAGAAGGTCGGACATTTTACAGGGGACCTCTAAGGGAAATGCATTTAGATGCATTTTAGTGGCTCTAATGTGAAAAACTCACCAAAGTATATTACTTATTTTGCTATGACTTTAAGGTCTAAAATCATTGTTTAATTTACAAACTAACTCCCATCATCTGTGATGAGAAAATAAGGTTTATATTTTGATTGCATTTATTTCCCTTAAGTGCCTTTTTCATAATAATGCTATATTTACCTTTTACAACAAGGTAATGTTTTAAGGTAGTTTTGGGTTAGAATGTAAAAAAAAAATAGCTGCTTGGTGGAGATCTCAGGTCTCCAAGTGCTTTCTAGTTTGTACTGACTCTTTTTATTTTTAGAAAGAAACATAACATCAAGCAGTCCGAACTCCTAAAGCAAAAAAAAGAAAACCAAAGTAAAACTAACAAAAACGACCCAATGTCACCTCTAACTCTTTGCCTTTACAATAATAATTTATAAAAGAATTTACATAGTACATTCTCTTTAGGAAACAGAATATTATTCAAACTTTATTGCAGATTAAAAAGGGTTCACATAATTAGAGAAAAAAAAAGTGGTGATTGTATAGAAGCCTCACTACTTTCAGTTTACTGTGGGGAATCTACAATTACAGTGTAGTTTAACATGATGAGAGGGTGCATGTATGGATGACTGTGAGGAATCTAGAAGCCCTTGAAGCCATTTAGCATAGAGAAGCATACAAATAATGATTATCAAGTAGCATGTCTTCCATAACAAAAGGGGACTCACCTTTTCTGTCTCTGAAGTGGCCCAGCAGGAGCAGAAAGATGATAAGCAGTTTTCCACTGAGTGCTCCAACAATCAGTGGTATTGGCAGTGACGGATTTTCAAGCATGTGGGTAGCATCTTTAAGGGATTTTTAACAATAAAAAATATTAGAGATTAAAATCAAATACAATATTACATCAAATAATGTTCTAAGATATATGTTCTTACATTTTACTGCCATCCAGCTCTGTGGTGAAGCTTTTCCTGAATGTTCACACTTGTAGAAGCCTTCGTCTGACTGAGACACTGCAGAGATGTTTAGCTCCCCTCTGCTGTCATTTTTTACCAGTTTGTCATTGTGATAGAAAAACACATTGGAAAGTGTATTATGTCCTCTAAGTCTGCAGCTCAGAGTAACAGAACCTCCTTCAGTCACAGGATGGACGGGGCTCACCAGGAGAAGATCTCCATCTTGAAAACAGAAAAATCTTTCAAATGTTAGCTACTGCAGACCATAAGAAAAAATCAAATGAATATGGGATCAACATGTTTTTGTTCTCATTAGATATTGTAATCTTGAACAACCCATTATATGTGAGAGATCCTTAAAGGAATAGTACACCCA